TTTTTTATTTATTGTAGAGATGAGGTCTCGCCAAGTTGCCCAGGCGGGTCTCGAACCCGCAGGCTCAGGCAATCCACTCACCTCAGCCTCCCAAGCGTGGGATTACAGGCTGAGCCACCGAGCCCAGCTACATAAGCTCTTAAGGAAGACAGTCTCGGGTCTAAGTCACAACTTTGTCAGATATCAGTGATATGACCTCGGGCAAGTCACTTAACCCTTCTCTGAGCTCTGTTTCCTCAGAGTTAAAGTTGGGTGGCCAGGCATGGGGCTCACATCTGTAATCCCAGCACTTTGGAAGGCCAAGGTGGGAGAATCACATGAGCCCAGGTTTTGAGACCAGCTGCCTGGGCAACATAGTGAGGCCACGTCTTTACCAAAAAATAAAAAAATTAGCTGGGCATGGTGGCATGTGCCTGCAGTCCCAGCTACTTGAAAGTCTGTGGCAGAAGGATCACTTGAACCCAAAGAGGTTGAGGCTGCTGTGAGCTGGCATCACATCACTGCCATCCAGCCTGGGCAACAGAGACCCTGACTCAAAAATTAAAAATAAAAAAATAAAAAACAGCCGGGCTCGGTGTCTCAGCCTGTAATCCCGTGCCTTTGGGAGGCTGAGGTGAGTGGATTGCCTGAGCCCGCGGGTTCGAGACCCACCTGGGCAGGCAAGACCTCATCTCTACAATAAAAAATCAAAAAATGAGCCGGGCGTGGTAGCGCGTGCCTGTAGTTCCAGCTACTTGGAAGGCTGAGGCTGAAGGAAGGATCACGGGAGCCCAGCAGGCCGAGGCTGCGGTGGCCGGGAGCGGTCACTGCACTCCAGTCTGGGTGACAGAGTGAGACTCCAACTCAAAAAATAAAATAAAATAAATAAAAAACAAAAAATAAAGTTGGGATAACACCAGCTAAGTTATATGCTGAACTATAGTGAGCATTTCTCTATGATGTAATGTACTAAGCCCCACGAGGATCATCTCATTGAAGACTCACAACACCACCATAAGCTAGATTATTACCTCCACCTTGATGGTTTCCTCAAGATGAGAAAACTGAGGCTCAAAGGAGTTAAAAGATTTGTTCACGATCACCATGTAGGTTAAGTGGTGGAGGTGGGCCCTGGGGTCAGGGCTTCTGATTCCAAAAGCCATGGGTACCCTTCATGTCTGACTGCCTCCAACAGTGCATAAGTAACAGAGAAGAGTCAGATCAGAAAGGTCTTAGGACGGGTGATTGGGCAAAGAGCAGAAGGAGGGGGGAGGGCCCCCACTGCTGTCGGGCACACGCTGCTCCATTCAACCTGGGCCTGTTGGCTTGCCTGGACCAAGCATGACTTTTGTGACAGGCGGTGCCTGCAGGTGGTTTGATCCTGGTTGAGTGTTACAGAGCATCCCACCAAGCTGAGGCCACCTTCCTCTATCCCACAATGCTTACCACTGACATGGAAGCAGCCTTTCCTCTGAGGTCTGCCTAGCACCTTCCAGGGCCTTGAGTCCCTCAACACTTCTGCACACCAAGCGCAAAGCAGCTAAGTGGCTGAAAGTCTCAGGTCCTAGGAAGAGGACAGAGATGGGACCAAGTGCCTCTAACCTCTCCAGTTCATCCACCTTCAGACTCAGCTGTTTATTTTCCTTCTGGGAGGCCTGATGTTTCTCTCTCGCCATCTCCAGCTTGTCCCCCTGGTGTTCGATCTAAAATGACAGGAACATAGACTGGTTTATGAAGAAATTTCCTGGGACAGCCCTCCCTTTTCCCTGTGACCTGTCACCCACACCCAGGCAAGGGACACGCTGCCTTCAGCAGGTGTCCAAGTCTCAACGTACAACCTAGAGACGAGACGACAGCAGGGACAGATCAGGCCCAACTCCAGAGCCAGAAGACTTTCCCACACGTGGAGAAGCCAGGTTTGATGCTGAAGAACCACACAGATGCTTTCTCGATCAGGAGAGGCTGCTTGGAGACCCGGCTGGGATCCGGGACACAGATGAAAAGGCAGGAGCTGATGGCAGCCTGACTGGCCCACACGACAGACCAGGAGTTTTATCTGCTATACTGCTGGTACTACTGATCTCATCCACCTCTTAAATGGGACAGTGCAGGCAAGACAACAGGAATCTATCAGTTCTTTCAGGCTGGCAAGTTTGAGAATTTATCCAGAGGGACCTTGAGATTTGACAGAAGGCAGGCAGTGTACGGGTACTGAGTGTGTGGGCTGGCTGGGTCCAATCCCTGTTCGCTAAGGATTCGCTGTGATGGGAGGGCATTACTTCTCCCCTCCATTTTGCTTTCTGCAAAATGGGGAAATAGCATATACATCTCCCAGACTTCCTGCGGGAGTTAAATGACAGCTAGAGCATAGAGTATGTGCTCCGAAAATGGTAGCATGCCAGGGGTGGTGGGAGGCCAAGACAGGAGGATTGCTTGAGCCCAGGAGTCTGAGACCAGCCTGGGCAACACACCAAGACCTCATCTCTACAAAAAAATCTAAAAGAAAATTAACCAGGCATAGTGGTGTGTGCCTGTAGTCTCAGTTACTTGGGAGGCTGAGGTTGAAGGACTATCTGGGCCCAAGAGGTCAAGACTGTGGTGAGCTATGATTGTGCCACTGCACTCCATCCTGGGTGACAAAGTGACTCCT